CACAGGACACATGTAATGAACACTTGACACATGTGATTATAGTAATGAACTGGTATATGCTGGACGTATGATTTATATGTGATATATCACTAGTACTAACTGAGCTATCACAAGTTTGTGTGATTTAGTAGCTCCGTTGGTGGCTCCGTTATCATGCAGTGAGTTGTAAATGTTACGGTTGTGCAACGGCATGGTGATGTTCCTGTGTTCATTGTGCATTCTAACTAGGGGTGCTGTGCGGATTATACGCTGGAATTACTTGAATATGAACTGGATATAGGATATTTCTTAATTTTTATGAGCAATTTTGAAATAAAAATAATTCTAATTAGGCATACAGGGAGAGATTAGCATTAATCCATCATGTATTTTGTCGCAGAGAACAAAATATTTTGTGACATTTTATGGCATTTTATGAGATTTTACGGCAAGCACCTGCTATTTCTCAGCGTGATTTATTATTTATGAAGCTCTTATTAATGTTGTAGAGCAAAGTAAGTTTAATATCATAAATTAAAGACACACGGTTAGGTGAAGTGATTTTAAAATTAAGATCATTTTAATATTAATTATATCTCCATAATATACCAGCTTAAACTCGATGTCAACTTTCCGGTGCTTTTATAATTATATTCCCAATAAATGCTTAACCAATCAACGCGTAAAAATACATTTTTTAAACATTTTAATAAAATTGAACCGACGTTTCACGTAGTTTTCCTGGAATCATTGCGAGAAAGAGGATCATTACACGTTAACACAATGAGTCTATACACTTGACAAGATTAGAATTACGAAGAATAATTCGTGGACTATAACACGTGCAATACACAAGCAATACACGTGCAATACAGGTGTAATATAAATTTAACTAATATGTTAGACCCTTATTCGTCAAATAATTTAATGGGTGGTGTCCTCTCAGTGGGTGGACGGATAATGGCTTCATCATGCTCTTTCAAATATATCGTTATCTTCTGATTGGGTAAAACAACGTAAGTATAGGTTAAAGCTTCACTGATTCCTATCCATTATTATAGTTTGAAGCTTTCTTGGTATTTCTATAACGTCAACAATTAGTACTACATCGTAGTAGTACATATTAGTAAACAATTAGTACTACATCGTTATCGTCTGATTGGCTGGCACAATGTACTACACTGAGGTGCAATATGATCACAGCTTAAACCGAATGTTAACAAATGATCGGGGCCTTATACAATCAGGTGACAGTTAGATGACTGCTTAAACGAATATATATATCATTTGTTATTGAACATATTATGCCAGTAAAACATGTTATCTCGTGTTGCTACCATTACCACGTGTTTTGTATCACGTTTATCATTGTAAAGGTTAACAGAGGTACAATAAGATCACTTTGAAACAGCGAAAAGATAAAAGCTTAAACGAATAAATGAATATGATGTAGTAAAAGGCTTTGTAATATGTATTTTATTTGTTTAAAAAAAGGCTTTGTAATATGACGTATTTTATTTGTTATGTGATCTGTGCCAGTATAAGACTTATGTTTTCTATGTTGCTTATACCGTTAACAATTATTTCGTTGTTTTGTCGTTGGTTGCAGATTGTATAGCTTGTAACTGCTTAACTGCTATAGCACAATTTATTAAACGATCCAAAGGGCATCAGTAAAAGTCGTTTCCCATTATCACTCTCTCGACATATCATTCATTGGTAACCTGAATCACTGTGCTGAGCGTGCCTTCAAATTTTGTGAATCACTCTTAATACCTGTAACTTTTGTTTACTTTCTTCTTTTATTTAAAGAGGGGCTGGACCTGGTGGCCCACGAGAGGATATAGCATATGCTGATATATGATGATGCTTTGAGGATGCTGGGGTTAAATGTGTGGATATGTAAATGTGAAAGTGAAAGTGTGATAGCTTACTTGTTTTCTCTTCTCACGCTTATATCATGTCGCAAATTGTAAAGCTCGCGTGCTAAATGGCACACAGTGTAGGTTGAAGCCGTGTATTATCCCTCCATTGTCGTCTACTTTTACTTTTGTACTGTTCCTGCTGTCTACTGTTGGATAACAAGGACGGTAGGAACTAGGTTTAACTTGTTGTTATGGTAATTGGGCTGGGATTTGGAACACCTATGTGTTGCTGTGTGACAGCTGTTGTTTGTTGCTGCTGTTACTTGTCTGCTGTTGTCTGCTGCTTATCTTGTAGGGTCGGTCGTTCTGAACTTCTCAAAACTGTGACAGTCCTACCTCAAATATTGCATGCAGCTTTGAGTCTCAACTTCTGCTGCATTCTGTGGCCTTATCAATAATCAGGTTTAGCCTCAATTGTCCCTCGCTGTGTGACAGCTGACGTGTTGTTTATTGTTGCTGTTGTCTGCTGCTTATTTTGTAGGGTTCTGAAGTTCTCAAAACTTCTCTGGACAAAACTGAAGACCCGGAGACAAGGCTGGCAACTGCTGGGAGTGGCTGTTTAACTTGTAGGTAATTGTATATTGGAGTGTCTGTAATACGTGTGTCTGTAATACGGGTCCACCTTTTTGTTGTCTAGTCCTTATTGTGTGGTATTATATGTGACGAACTTTCTTTTGTCTACTATGCAGCTTTGGAGCTTTGTTCTTCAGCGATTTAAAAGCATTAGTGTAGGGTGTTGCTATTTGTCGCCTAACCATTAAGGTTTTGTTTTCTTTACATTTATATTTTGCTGTGTAACTTACGTTTGATGGTTTGAAGTAAATACGGAATTAATATTCGAGACGAATATTAAATATCAATCATTAAATTAATATTAACGAATATTAAATATTAAATATCTTTACTGCGTGCTTGCGTGTTACTAAATCATCCCGTAGATCTAAGAAGCTGCTGCCACTATCATTTGAGTCATTCGATAAAATCAGTACTGCATATAATAGTTTATCAGATTCCTCTAGGCATAAAGCTGATCAAGCATACGCATCTGCAATAATGTAGCGTAACTCATATCTGCATTACTTATAGTTGTTAACTATAAGCTGTTAACTATAAGCTTATAAGTGATGCAATGATCGTAAACTTAATTATTGCGCGTGCAATAATTAAGTTTATGTATCATATTGTGTGTACACACTTATCGTTTATACTCGCTGTACATATCGGGTTTACATCGTAGCATCCTACCATTTCTTGTGTGATGTATCATCCTTTTGTGTGTTTGTCAAATGTCTTCTGAAGCGGAATGAGCTAGGATGTACCGGAGCCTGTTTTTACAACATGTAGTACATTTTATTTATTTAATGTAAGTAAGTATTATGTAATACCTCAATTATAAAGGTCAGCGGGTGTAAGGCGTATATGAATTTTTTTTTCTGCAAGCTTTCCTAAAATTAGGATTATGCGTTAACTACTGTGAGATTATAGGACTTTTCTTGTCTTTAACCTTAGACAATTTTTGATACCAATTGATAACTTGTTGTCAAGGTTTCACTCATCTTAAAACTTTAAAAGAATCGCGCTCGCCCTATAGCTATATATTATTATTAAGTTGCCATTTTGTAGTGCTTTATATTAGTTTGACGCATTAATTCAAACAAGCACGCGGTTCAGCTACAAAGTAAACTAATTTACTTTGTACCAAATAATATACCAGTAAACAGTTGATACATTTTTGCAAAGGTTTCACTCTGTTCAAAATGTTTTAAAATCCTTTATTAAAGCTAATATATATAATATTATTATTATTAAAGTTAATATATATACTATAATGAAACTGAACCTATAAGTAGAACATCAAGGTACACGACAGAACTCAACTTGAAACACACGGAAATTTTGCCGGAAAGAAGCCGACACGAATGCAGACATGTTTGATGAAAATTATTTACTGTGACAGTCCTTATTTGGTCCCAACATAAACACCCTACGTGCGTGGGGTGGACTCCTGGGGTGGACTTTTATTCAGCGCGTATTTTGTAGCCTGTTCAACTTGACGTTTTGATTCGTTACTATCTCAATGTCACAGATACACAGAATGTGAGGTGATCATCTTAAAGAGAAACGTCTCAGCTTTCACCTGGTGTAAAGTTTATCTTTGTACTCAAAATATAGCTCGCTCAGTGTGCAATAGAAGTTGACACTACAATAACCACGTCTGCGACCGGTCGTCAGATACCGGAGTGTTGCACAAAATTGGGTCCCTAAATTAAAATTCTATGACACAGTTACCATGCAGAAATGTCTAGGGAAACATTTGGTGAAAGTTTCAACTCTCTACTATAAAAATAGCGATAGTTATTGAAGATAAACCGTGAGAAACTCCCTCTTGTCGAGATCAACGCTCTAGGAACCTCCCTTCTGTACCACGTGACAACGATTTGAGCGTCACGTGGCCGTCACGTGACAAAAGTGCGCGCATCGGATGGAGCAGTCTCGTGGGAAATCCTGATTGCCTGATCGATCTCGTGGGAAATCCTGATTGCTACGGAAAGGGCTGACAACCACAGTTATTTCCCTTCCTCAATTTTCCAGTTCACTTGCTCAGTGCTGTCAGTTGTTTTTTGTTTGCCCTGCTATATAAACTTCACTCCGTCATAATCCCCTACTCTCCTATCCAATGAACTGTTTCTGTTACAGCTGCCATTCTGTTGACTGGACCCTAACTTAGTCTTATCATTTTCACTTGATAACTTTATCCGTGTGCACTTTCTCGAAACTCAACTTATCTTTGTCAAGACTCAGCTAATCTCAGAACTAAATGTTGCCTTAACAGACTTACTTGTCACTGCACTGGGCCCTCCTTTAAATGCAAATATCATATGAGCAGCTGATCGATTTATTGCTTGAACTGTGCATCCTTTTTAAAAATAAATAAGGTCAATTTTACTATCGTGAAACTTAGTCACTGAAGACAACGCAATCTGGCTGTGCCGGTTCCCCTCTGCCTAGATCACTTAGAATATCCATAGTTAGCAATACTTTTATCGTCTAATGCAGCGATATAGCCAGTTATCAATGCTACTTAGTAGATTTTAGCCTGTTCCAATCATCCTTATATCGCGTTAATGGAATTTATGAAATTGCCTACCGTTCAAATCGCTCTCTGTTGTTAGCACCACACTGATTAACTACGATGTTCCAATTTTTTAGAATTATGTCCGACATAATTCTAATTTTTGCTGTTACAGCAGATAGTTATGGTGTAATGGCACGCAGGAATAAGTCATCCCTGTCCTCCAAAAAGCCCATGAAAAGGTATTTGGTAAGCTATGTCTTTTCCAATATCAAATCCAATGTATCACAATCTGTGGACTTTCTACTCAAAAACTAGATTGATTAATTGATAATTCATTGCTGATTGTTCACGCGCCCTGTATGGAAGTATATAAATGGTAATCCGCATACTCCAGGAAGAATTGAAGCAATCTCAAAAGAAAAGAAGGGAATCTGGATCCTTCGTCGGATCGTCAAAGAGCTTAGAGGGGAGCTCTACGCTTCACTGGCCATGCAAAGCAGGGAGAGTGACGGAGGCGGAGGCACTGCTGGCTGCTGGAACGGACATTAACAAGCTGGACAGAACGCAGTTTAACCCTTTCATGGACGCGATCAACTCAGGTAAATCATTCGACCGCCTTAACAATATGGGTTTATTGGTAATAGTAGCAAGAGGTTTTAGTCATGCGTTTGATTACAGCACAGTGTGAAACCCTGAAGCATACGTCGAGCTCTAAACTCTGTTTTGTCTAATAATCAATTATTTGAATATTGAAGGATTAAATTTGGTAACTTGATGATCACACAATTAACAGGACAGGTCGACTGTGCTAGATGGCTGCTGAGGCAAGACGGTTTAAAGCTTCAGACCGAGATATGGTCGTTTTGTAGGGAGAGGGTGCTAGAGTCATTGCTAACAGCTTAACAGAAGGTAAAATCCTGAACTTTTGTTCATTGATTAAAAATCACCATTCAGACATACAATCGTTCAGATGTAAAAATTATTTATTCACTATTTTGGATTACATTTAGTTACAGGACTAACATGCGACATCCGTCGTTGACCTTTGTCTTTAATTCAACAAGGTAGGGAGAGCGATCCATGGCTGTCCCGATAGACCCACTCAGACTCCTGCCGGAAGATACTCCTCCGGTTGATCCAGATGAGACAGTTCTAGCAGATGATCAGTTACAGACTGAAGAACATATCCCACAGATCAATGCGTCAACATCTGCAAATGAAGGTACTTCAATCTGCTCTTCTTGTATATGTCTTTGTGCCTGCGTCTGTGATTGTACTGAAGTGTACTCTGTGTGTTTGTGTCTGTGTCTGTCTTTGTATCGTGTGTGTGTCTCTGATTGTACTGCGTGTGTCTGTAATTGTAATGTAGTGCACTGAAGTGAACTATGTGTGTTTATGTGTGTGTGTCTGTGTGTGTCTGTGTGTGTCTGTGTGTACTGTGTCTGTCTGTGTGTCCGTCTGTGTCTGTGTGTGTCTGTGTTTATGCCTGTGTCTGTGTGTCTATGTCTGTATGTGTTTGTGGGTGTGTGTCTGTGTGTCCTTGTCTGTGTGTAACTGTGTCTGTCTGTGTGTCTGTCTGTGTGTCCGTCTGTGTCTGTGTTTATGCCTGTATGCCTGTATGTCTGTGTCTCTGTGTGTGTGTGTCTATGTCTGTATGTGTTTGTGGGTGTGTGTATCTGTGTGTGTGTGTGTGTGTGTGTGTGTGTTCTTTCATAGAAGTTGTTATTTCCAAGATACGAAGTTCGAAAAGCTAGCATTTAGTAATAGACGAATTTTGCAGCTGATATCAGAATCGACATGATGATGGTACTACACGAGATGCTCATGAAAAAGGTCTCCGTTTGCTTTCCTCCTCCCACGAGCAGTACAAAGTGTGGGTTCAACTTTAATCTGATAGAAGATATCGTATGCGGAACCCAAGCCCGGCCATGTCTGTACATAATAACGAAAGAAACCGGTAAGTTTCTAATCATGTAAATGTTCGGCCGAACGTTTGCATTCATTTTAGACTAGTGACGAAAATCAACAATCGTTTGCCAGTTTGGTTTGCAAAATCGACAAAAAATAGTCCATTCCCCATGGCCATGATATTAGAATTCTGCCCGTTGAAATCGGCCACTCTGATTTTTATCATTGAACTTCACATTGATGACATGTTCATTCTCTACAGGTTATGCTGCGAGGGCGTTTACCTCGATAGATGTTGAAAATGCCCACAGCATTATAAATCATTTGGACCGCCGAGGGGTCCAAAACTCCTCAATCGAAGAGCTTAGTAGACATGCCAGCAACCTACAGAGACTTCAAATTCTCAGGAAACCTCTCTAGGACGGTAATACATTAACTTGTTTAGTTAATAAATTTAATAAGTAGATTTTGAGTGATGATTACTGAATACAGATATCGAGCCTCGAGGTACCATAAAAAGGGTAAATAAACTTATCACTTATGCTTATATGCTTATACTATCAATGAATATCAAATCGCCTTCTCTAGTTATCAAACCCAACATAAGTTAAATCTCTGCCTACAAGGACTATTTGATATTTACAACAGACCGAGTGAATGTCTCAATCTTTTCAGGAAGCTTTATACTCCGACATCCACAATTTACCACGCCCCTGAGATCGACAAAGGTCTTTCTGATAGATTGACTTCCAGCCAATTCGATCTATCGAAGCCGAGTGGGAAGAACAAAGAACTGAAACCCCATGGTCGCAACGATGCTCCTCGCGGACAAGGGAGAGTTAGGGCCATCGGTGGTCACAAGACTGGATAATATTTATTTTTTAAGCGTTGAGGTTGTCACGAAAGCGTACTGTAACGGGACTATCAGATTTGAGTGATTTGATTTTGTGATTTGCAGTTCACGTGATTTTATTGTGATTTTAGACTGTAAAAACTATAAAGGTTCAAGTTGAACTATCGTCGCCATGATTATGTATTTTGGAACTGTTCACGTTGAAATTGCTTCGTTAATCAGCAGTCTTCCTTGGTTACTTTCTACTGTGTAATGCAGCTACGATCAACGATACTTAGCTAGTACATTCATAGTAACACTAACTGCACTGAGAAGAGTAAAAAATTTGAGCTTTGACGGAATAACATTTCCTTGTTTTTAGATACGGTTACTACTCTAGTGAGGGGTTCATAGCTGATCATTAAGGTCTTACTCACAATAATTTGTGCTCTGATATTGGCCGTACTGACGGCTGTTGAAAAAGCCACTCCGTCAGATGCGCGCCGCAAGAGTCCACCCCTGTAGACCCCACTACGTACAAAATTTGAAATTTTCCCAAAAACTTCTGATTAAGCTAGTTTGTTTTCAATAACTTTTGCAATATTTACAGTAGACCCTTCAAATTTTCACCAAATGTTACTCCAGACATTTCTGCATGGTAACTGTGTCATAGAATTTTAATTTAGGGACCCAATTTTGTGCAACACTCCGGTATCTGACGACCGGTCGCAGACGTGGTTATTGTATTGTCAACTTCTATTGCACACTGAGCGAGCTATATTTTGAGTACAAAGATAAACTTTACACCAGGTGAAAGCTGAGACGTTTCTCTTTAAGATGATCACCTCACATTCTGTGTATCTGTGACATTGAGATAGTAACGAATCAAAACGTCAAGTTGAACAGGCTACAAAATACGCGCTGAATAAAAGTCCACCCCAGGAGTCCACCCCACGCGCGTAGGGTGATAAATAATTCAGATTTTAATTCATCACTGTGACAATCCGATAATCTTATATTTGATCCTTCGAACAGCTGTTGAGCAATGAAACGCAAACATAATCTTAGCAAAATGAATATATTTCTTTTATCTTCAGCATTTAATCAGTCACATAATCTGAGAATATCAATGGTTAGTTTGAAAATGTCAAAAATTCTCATCAAAAATGTAGTAAAGTCTCAAAAAATTAATTTAGCATCTCGTAAAAATGGAATAGTTTAAAATCGGAACAAAATTAATGGCATATACTATAATAATGTGGAGTCTGCAGTAGTTCATTAAATCAAAAAATCAAAAAGACGCAATTCAAAAATTGATAGACTGCATATATAAACAAAAATGGACGATTTAAAAATAAAATTCGGGACACCATGAAAAATTAGCTTCCAGAAACTGAATTCACATTGTTCAGGCCAAACGGATAAAGTGTCTTCAATTTGTTAATATAAAACTGTTCTGACTTTCTAATATTATCTGGGGATGTAGAACACAAAATATCAAAATGGAAACTTTCATTGAAAACAGATCTCTCCCTCAAATTATGAACTGAAAAAAGATGTGCCCCTAAAACATTCTCGTCATCAAAATCTCTGTGGCTCTCAACATTCCCCTTACTACTCGCCTCTAAAATCTCATAATATTTACTGCGATGACCATTCACACGTTGGCTGAGGCTGGTGACTGTTTTTCCCACGTATACGTTATTAACAGTACAAAGTTTGCATGTCGCGCCGTACACAATGTTGCGTGTCTTACAGTTACCACCTTGAGTTCTGACTGAGTGTCCATTATTGGAGACCATGGAATTGCCACTAACAAGGTGACAAGTTTGGCAGGGTCTGCCTTTCTTCTTCTCACCAGGTTTGGTGCATGGGTCAGTTGTTCTTGACTCTGAACCTAAGGCAAGCTTCTTTCTCTTGAATAAAGTGTCCTTTAAGTTAGGGGCTCGCCTGGTCACCACTTGGAGTTTAGGGATCCTCTCAGGGTTCTCACTGCTCCATGTACGGCTATTTGAGATGATGTTACTGGCCTCTTTAGCCTTTTCCTTGGTTTCCTCATAGCCCGCACCGAATGTAACAATCCATGGTGTGAAAGAAGGGGGACCCTGATCCTTTGCCTTGTACTGTAAAGTTCTTGGTATCGATCTGACATCACTGATGACCTCTCTCACCATATCAGTAGGATATGAAGACCGTTCAAAAAACAACTGAAGCTCTGCCAATCTCTCATCCAGCAAGACGTCATCATTGATTATCCTTCTGTATCGAAGTGCCTGTGAGAAGACTATACTCCGGAAGGTATGTCGTGGATGGAAACTTGAGAATTCAAGATACCTGTTAGCGTCAGTAGGTTTCCTAAACAGATCTGTTGTGAGTCTCCCTCCAACAAACTTGTACTGAATGTCCAGGAACTGAGTGAACTCCGTGATTGGTTTCACTTCGTATGTAATATCTAAGCCATAGTTATCAACCATCTTACTGCGTAATGACCCTACCCATTCTTCAAAACCAATCATAGAACCTCTCCACATACCTTGGCCCGAAATATCATCCACAAACCGATCAAGGTTCTTGAGCTCCTCTGGTCTAACAACCGGGTCGTAAACCAGACTCTTTAGGACAAAGAACAAAGCAATGTTACCGCAATCCACTGAATTGATACCTCCAGTGGGTACACCGTTAACGACCTCATACCAGTTGTCTGCATTCTTCAAGACTGCCGAATCAAAACTAAGCTGTATCAGTCCCTTCAGCCAAGTCCTGAACTCCTCAGACCAATCTGACAATCCGATATGATGATAGCACTCATTTTACGACGTTTGGTAAATGTTCGTCAGCGAAATCTACCAGTACCTCGAATATTGCATGTAACCTTGTCTTGCCTCAGGTTTCCCTCATTCATTTTGTCACTAGTAGTTTCCCTCATTAATTTTGTCACTAGTAGTTTCCCTAATTCATTTTGTCACTAGTAGTTTCCCTAATTCATTTTGTCACTAGTAGTTTCCCTCATTCCTTTTGTCACTAGTAGTTTCCCTAATTCATTTTGTCACTAGTAGTTTCCCTCATTCATTTTGTCACTAGTAGTTTCCCTAATTCATTTTGTCACTAGTAGTTTCCCTCATTCCTTTTGTCACTAGTAGTTTCCCTCATTCCTTTTGTCACTAGTAGTTTCCCTCATTCCTTATGTCACTAGTAGTGTCACTAGTTCCTAATGTCACTAGTAGTTTCCCTCATTCCTTTTGTCACTAGTAGTGTCACTAGTTCCTAATGTCACTAGTAGTTTCCCTCATTCCTTATGTCACTAGTAGTGTCCCTTATTCCTTTTGTCACTAGTAGTGTCACTAGCTCCTAATGTCACTAGTAGTTTCCCTCATTCCTTTTGTCACTAGTAGTTTCCCTCATTCCTTATGTCACTAGTAGTTTCCCTAATTCATTTTGTCACTAGTAGTTTCCCTAATTCATTTTGTCACTAGTAGTTTCCCTCATTCCTTTTGTCACTAGTAGTTTCCCTAATTCATTTTGTCACTAGTAGTGTCACTAGCTCCTAATGTCACTAGTAGTTTCCCTAATTCATTTTGTCACTAGTAGTTTCCCTAATTCATTTTGTCACTAGTAGTTTCCCTAATTCATTTTGTCACTAGTAGTTTCCCTCATTCCTTTTGTCACTAGTAGTTTCCCTCATTCCTAATGTCACTAGTAGTTTCCCTCATTCCTTTTGTCACTAGTAGTTTCCCTCATTCCTTTTGTCACTAGTAGTGTCACTAGTTCCTAATGTCACTAGTAGTTTCCCTCATTCCTTTTGTCACTAGTAGTGTCACTAGCTCCTAATGTCACTAGTAGTTTCCCTCATTCCTTTTGTCACTAGTAGTTTCCCTCATTCCTTATGTCACTAGTAGTGTCACTAGTTCCTAATGTCACTAGTAGTTTCCCTCATTCCTTTTGTCACTAGTAGTGTCACTAGTTCCTAATGTCACTAGTAGTTTCCCTCATTCCTTTTGTCACTAGTAGTTTCCCTCATTCCTTATGTCACTAGTAGTTTCCCTCATTCCTAATGTCACTAGTAGTTTCCCTCATTCCTTTTGTCACT